TGAACATATTAAGGAATTGTATGAAAAAAATGTTGAATTTTTTAATATTTATTTGTCATACATAAAAGGGGCGGTTGATAGGCTCTTTAGGCATGAGGAGTATTTATTTCGGAAAAATAGGTTATGTATTCCTAATTGTTCTATTCGGGAGTTGTTAGCAAGGGAGGCACATAGTGGTGGATTGATGGGACACTTTGGGGCTCAAAAGACTTTAGATGTATTGAAGGAGCATTTTTATTGGCCTAAGATGAAAAGTGATGTTGAGCGAAATTGTAGTCGATGCATAGGTTATAAAAAGGCTAAATCTAAGGTTTTACCACAAGGTTTGTACACACTTTTACCTACACCTAGTGAGCCTTGGGTTGATATCTCGATGGACTTTGTTTTGGGTTTACCTAGGACTAAGAGAGGTCGGGATTCTATTTTTGTGGTTGTAGATAGGTTTAGGAAAATGACACATTTTATACCATGTCACAAAACTGATGATGACACGAACATTGCTGACTTATTCTTTAAAGAGATTGTGCGTTTACATGGAGTTCCTAGAAGCATAGTGTCGGATTGGGAGGTCAAATTTTTGAGCCACTTTTGGAGAGTTTTGTGGGGTAAGTTAGGCACTAAGTTACTATTTTCCACAACTTGTCACCCACAAACAGATGAGCAGATCGAGGTAGTGAATAGGACTATGACACAATTGTTACGCACGGTAATCAATAAAAATTTGAAGAGTTGGGAGGAGTGTTTACCATTTGTTGAATTTGCATACAATCAAGCTGTTCACTCTACTACGTCATATTCTCCATTTGAAATTGTATATAGTTTTAATCCACTAACACCTTTGGATTTAATTCCTTTACCTGTGAATGAACGTGGTAGTTTAGATGGCAAAAAGAAGGCGGAATTGATTAAGTCACTCCATGAAAAAGGTAAAAGCGCAAATTGAAAACAAAAGTAAGTTGGTTGCGTCGCAGGCGAACAAAGGTAGAAAGCGCGTGACATTCGAGCCAGGAGATTGGGTTTGGGTGCACCTTAGGAAAGAGCGGTTTTCGGAGCAAAGGAAGTCCAAGTTGCAACCGAGGGGCGACGGTTCATTTCAAGTGATTGAAAAGATAAACGACAATGCTTACAAGTTGGACCTTTTAGGTGAGTACAATGTTTCGGCTACTTTTAATGTATCTGATCTCTCTCTGTTTGATGCAGGTTTAGATTTGAGGACGAATCCTTTTAAAGAGGGAAGGGATGATATGATCCAGGAGTCGAGCCCGACGAAGGCAAGTGCGAGACGAGACCCGTTGATAGTCGATGGCGGACCAATGACGCGATTAAGAGCAAAGCAAGTGAAACAAGCGATGGGATTGTTCGTTCAAGAAACCATTGACGGAACCATGTTCGGGACTCAAAATGGAGCAACTTTCATGTTCGGGTCGAAGGCCGAATCAACTTGGATCAATTTGTTATCAAGCGATGAAATCGGAGGCTGAAAATAAGCCTGTGCGACCGCACAGCAAAAACACCATGCGGCCGCATGGTGGCATACCGAAACTTAAATTGGGATTTTTGTTGAACCATGCGACCGCATGAAAATACACCATGCGGCCGCACAAGCTAAAAATTTGGAATTTTCCAATTTTGGCAATTTTCCATATTTTGTTAGATTTTGATTCTTTCCATATTTTGGAGATTATGCTCGACTTTTGCACGATTTTTACCTAGTTTTTAGGTCTAGTATAAATAGGAGTTTCCATTCAATTGTTAAAAGCCTTTGACATTATTGATATTGAATTAAAGTGAGGCGTATTATCTTCTCTTCATCGTTCTTCATTGAACAATTTCGAACTTATCAAGTGTTAACTTGTAGCGTTCAAACAACTGAATTTAATTCTTGGATTGCGTGATCAAGGGGTCTTTCAAGCATCGTTCTTGTTGGGTTTTTTGGTTCGACTTTCTTTTGGGTTAATCCTAAACTTTGGATTAATTTGGCTTTCTTGGGTTCTTCAATCTCGTTGTGGGTTTCATAGTCAACGTTGCTACGGGGTTCGTATCAGATGAACTTGCCACTTGCAGTCCCTCAATCAAGTATCTGTTTAAAAGGCAAAGAAGAAAGAATTGACTTGGACTATTCCTTATGGGATTAAATGAAACATACTTTGCTGTTCAGGGACAAATCATGCTTATACAACCTTTACCAACTGTAAAAAAGGCATACTGCCTCCTATGTGAAGAAGAAAAGCAGCGAGGTCTCGTTGAAACAAAGAGTAGTGATCTTATTCATGCCATGAATACTAATACTTATGACAATTCTAAGGAAACACAATCTGCTTCTTCATGCCAACAGAAACAATGGTCAGCCTCTCATTCAAGGTCACAAAGGGATCGAAAATCACATTTCTACTCTTACTGTGAAGGCACTACACATACTGTGGACCGCTGCTATTATTTGAATAGTTTTCTACCTGGTCATAAACTTCATGGAAAAGAAGTTCAGCCATCGAATTGGAGCAAAAAACTTGTTGCATGCCAAGTAAGCACTCAGATAAGTTATGAACCACAAGGCTTTCATGAATACTGCTCCTCAATTCACTCCTGAATAACTCACTCAGATCAAAGCCCTTCTCAATGGTAAAAACTCTTCTCAAGCAAATTAAGTTGGTATCCTTTTTCCTTTTTGTTCCTCCTTTATCACACAAAAGACAACTTTAAACCACTGGATTATCGATAGTGGCGACAGTAATCACATAGCCACATTTGTCCCTATTACCTCTCACCTCTCTTCTTAAGCGACCTAGCTTAATGGTGCTCATTCTAAAATAGTTGGCATTGGTTCTACACAACTTTGAGATTACATACATGTTAAAAACATCCTCTGTGCTCATTCCTTCAATGTTAATTTGTTGTCAGTTAGTCAACTCACAACTACCATGAATTGTTCAATCCACTTCTATCCTACTTTTTGTGTATTGCAGGACCTAACTTTGAAGAAGATGATTGGTTTGGGGAAGCAAGTTAATGGCCTGTACTACTTCGTGCCTCCAGTAACATCTACATTGCCTTCCAATCCAGACACTTACCATGTGGACTCCACTACCAGAATTCCATGGCACCAGGGGTTAAGACATCCATCAAGAAGACCTTTACAGTTTTTAAGTCATGTTATTTCATCTATTGTATTTGATCCTAAGTATTCTTGCGAAACTTGTCATTTAGCTAAGTAAACAAGACTACATTTTCATTCTAGTTTCATTCAAATTTCATATTCATTCGATCTTATTCATTGTGACATTTGGGGACCTTTTCATATTGCAACTCATACAGGAGCTCATTATTTTTTGACTCTCGTTGATGATTATAATCGCTACACTTGGATATTTTTAATGAAGTTCAAATTTGAAATGTAAGGGTTGCTAAAAACCTTTATCTCTTTTGTTAACACTTAGTTTAATTGCCAAATTAATTGTAAAGGAAGTGATAATAGCTCAGAATTCACATCCATGAAGGCATATTTTTCCAGTCTTGGTACTTTATTCCAAAGTTCTTGTCCATCTACACCTCAACAAAATGTTGTGGTTGAACGAGAACATCGGCACCTTTTAAACGTTGCCAGGGCCTTAAGCTCCATGCTAATCTTCTCTTACAATTTTGCGGAGAGAGTTTACTTACAGCAACATACTTGATTAATCATCTTCCCATTCTAGTGTTTCACTACAAATCTCCATACGAAATGTTGTATAACAAGCCACCAAATTATTCTAATTTAAGAGTTTTTGGTTATCTTTGTTATGCAACAAATTTGCACCCATTGCATAAATTTGATCCTCGCACAAAAAAAAAAAAGCATCTTTATTGGTTATCCCATAGGACAAAAAGCCTACCGTTTATATGACCTCAACAATCACCAATTTTTCTCTAGTCGTGATGTCATTTTTCATTAGGAAGTTTTTCCTTTCCATGATTCCAAAATCTCAACAGAAAATACTATCTCACAATCCCAGTTAACTGAATACCACCAATTCACCTTATTTTCCTTATGCAACAGAATTGCCATTACTCGAGATCACTCATATCCCTCATTCTCCTTCACCAAAGACATCTGCAACATCTCCTCTTTGTAGAAATGAACGCACCAGAATACCATCCATTCTCCTTCAAGATTTTCAATGTCGACATGCTAGTACATAACCACTAACTGAATCTCCAATCTAGGATTCTTCAACTAAGTTAGGTACTCGGTATCCTTTAAGTAACTACATTTCCTATGATTCATTGTCATCTCAACATAAACATTTTGTTAATACTATTTCCAACATTCTAGAACCCACTTCTTATACACAGGTAGCCATAGATCCTAAATGGCAAGAGGCCATGCGGCTTGAACTTGATGCACATAATGGTCAAAAGACATGGTCTTTGGTTCCATTACCCTCTCGTCATTGTCCCATTGGTTACAAATGGGTATATCATATCAAGTACAATTCCAATGGTATGATCAAACGCTACAAAGCTTGATTTGTTGCTAAAGGATTTTCTCAATAAGAAGGCTTGGATTATACTGACACTATAAGAAATTTAGCCTTTCCCTACAAAATTTTCATTGACAAATTATAAGTTGTATGCGAAGTTCACTTTTCCCCACAATTGTAGGGCTATGATTTATTTCAAAATTTTCAATAGTAGGATGCCTTGTGCCTACAAATTTTTTTTTTCTTTTCTAGACATAAACATTTATGAGCAAGATATATCTTTTGCAGACAAATAATATTTGACGTATTTGTAGGCTCATAATTAGCTGGAAAAATTTTCTTATATTATTTATAATTTTAGTCCCTCCAAAAAGTAATTTGAAGTGAAAGAGAGAAAAAACAAAAGATAGAGAGAAAGTATTATTATTTTCTTATCAATATAAAAAATAACAAATTAGTCCTAAATCTAAAAACCCACCCCATACAAAATCTAAAACCCACCACACATCTCTAAATCTAAAAACCTATAAGTATTTTTTTTTTATCAATATAAAAAAAAAAACCACAAATGAAGCCTAAATCTAAAAACCCACCGCATACTCACTGTAAAATCTAAACCCACGACATCCTCTATTTGCCTCTAGAAATTTAATCAAAAATTATTCCCCTTTTTTGGCTTAACCTCATCATCGATTGCTATCAAAACCTAATTAATTCAATTTTCCTGTAGTCCAAATCTCTTCATCTGCGACAATATTGATTTTTGGTCAATAAATTCCGACTGAATCTTCTACGTATAGATTTTGTGTTCTTCAAGCAGTTTTAAAGGTATGCGTATCAGCTTTGTTTTAATCATTAATTAATTGTTCAGCATTGTTTAAATAGATCTGGTGTTTTAATTGATTTTTCTGAAATTCAAAGAATTAGTTTAATATGAACCATTGGATTTATATGACAGTTTTAATCTTTAATTAATTATTCAAATATATCTTTTCTCAAACAGAAATTTTGTGTTTTTAATGATGCTTGATTAGTATAGTTTTAATCATTTTCTTTTGTTTCCCCATTTTGAACCTAATGCAGTCGCTGGCGGATTGTGAAGTTTTCATGATAATTTTAGTTTACTTCTTTGAAAGAAAAAAAAAGTAGAATTAACTACAAAGAAATTTTGTTTTGTTGAAATGGGCTTTATCAATTGTGACATTATTCTTAGGGGAGTGAAATTGGAACTGGGATTGTAAAAGTTTTATTTTAATAATTGTTTTGATTTTAATTTCAAGGTGATGAATTTCATTCAATGATCTGCTTGTAATTTATTTCTTTGTAATTTACAAGTACTTTTTTGTGATACAAGCAAGGGCGAAGCCATCTTTGATACCGCACTCTGGATTTTGAAAGGACATTAGTTTTATAGAATTTCATTTAATGATTTACCTTTGTTTCGCTTGGGACAAGGTTCTGCAAGATTTTCAATCTCTCATTAATCTTCTCTTCTTTTTTGCAAAATTGGATAAAATGGTATCGAAAACCCTTGAACGACTCGTTGAGAATGTACATAACCTTATTCCGATCATGTCAAGTTATTACATACCATTGCATAAATACTTTGAGGATCAGTTGCAGAACCCTGCTATCTCTTGCTTCTCTATTTGATTTCTGACTGTCTGAATTTTCCCCTTCATTTAGTTCATGAGAACCATTGCAGTCATCAGAGATGCCACTTCCTCTACTATTGGTCTCTTTTAATTCTTCGTTGCTATTTTTAGTTACTTTCTTGTTCTTCTTTGACTGGACCATCCCTGGTTTATTCCTTGATGCCTGCACTTATTGATTTAATTAATCCTTTAGATATAGTATAAAAACGTAAGAAGAAAATTTAAACATAGTTGAACTGATTCTACTCACATCTCCAAAAACACTAGATTTCTTCAATTTAAATTGGGTGAATGATTCAATTTTAGTTGTTGGTTCCTAATTGATTTCAAGTGCCTCCTTTTAAAGTGCATATTATTTATTACAATTTCTGTTAGGTAATAAATTATGATGAATGAAATGTGCACCTAAACATTATCTGATGTATTTCTTCCATATTGTCCTTAAATATTTCATATTAACGGTAAAAAACTATATTTCTTTGTATTTTGAATCATTAATGATGAAGAATTATGTTATCATGTTTATTTTGGCCTAATTTTGTATCTTATTGTTTTTCAATTGAATAGAGAATTTTGATTATTAGTTAAAATATCTTGTAGGGGCCGTACAAAGAGTTGAAGATAACAGAGCTACTTTCAATTCAAATTGCAATAAGGTAAGTTCATAAATTCAAGTATGCCATCATCAAGTTGCTTGGCAGTACAAAATCTTTAATGATGTTATAAACAGTTGTTTTTACTTTTGTTGGTGCTTTGATGTATCTTGTTAAGTGAACAAATCTATCAATTCCATAACTGAACGTTCACATTAAATTTTTATTATATTGATATGTACTTTTTGTATATCATATCCTTTGTAGAGTCATAGATAGAGGCTACATTACTGATAGAAATTGGATACACAATCCCAATAGAACTAGTGCTGAATATTTGTTAGGGATTAAGGAATTCGTTAGAGTTGCAAGCAACAATATCGATCATCGAGGTCATTCTGAGTGCCTATGCCAAAAGTGTAATAATTGCTCTTGGAGGCCAGTGAGTGAAATTCGACAACACTTGGTCATGTATGGGATGTCATACAATTACACTAAATGGAATCATCATGATGAACGATCGGGGGTCGTGTTAGGTTCTTATACCACTAACTTGTTTTGCAACTCTAGTTTGATTGATGGCATTGATTGTGATAATGATCAAGTAATGGATATAATTAATTATATGTATCCACATGCCTCGTACCATCATAAGCAAAATTATTAGAAACAGATGAAGTATTACTTGATGATGATACATTGGGAAATAATCAGACATCTAAAATGTGTAGACAAGAGATAGATAACTATGAAAGGTTGTTGAAAGAAGCACAAAAGGAACTTTACCCTGGTTGTAAAGATTTTTCTATGCTAACATTGATTGTAGAGTTGATGCAATTGAAAGTGAGGAATTTGATAACCAACAAATGCTTTGACGAGCTTATGGGTATCTTGAAAAGGATGCTTCCAAAAGAAAATCAACTGCTTCCTACTCATCAGGTTATGAGGCATCCGGCAAACACAATTGTATGGAAGAAATTTGACAAGATTTATCCCAGTTTTGTAGCTGAGTCACGAAATGTAAGGTTGGGCCTTGCAACAGATGGTTTTAACCCATTTGGGGATATGAACAAACCTTATAGCATGTGGCTAGTTGTGGTTGTTCCTAATAATTTGCCTCCTTGGATGTGCATGAAAAAGGAATTCACCATGCTAACCTTATTAATTCCTGGCAAGCACGAACCTGGTAAGGATATTGACGTTTATTTGTGCCTGCTAATTGATGACCTAAAAGAATTATGGAAAATTGGTATGCATACATATGATAAAGCCATTGATTCCACTTTTAACTTACGTGCTGCTGTGTTGTGGACTATTAACGATTTACCTGCTTACAAAAATTTATCAGGGTAGAGTACTAAGGGTTATAATGCATGCCCTATCTGTAATGATGATGGAACATCTGAATGGTTCAGTGATAAGGTTTGCTATATGGGGTATTAGCGATGGCTGTCCTGGTATATTGTGTGGTGCAATATGAAGGAATCCTTTGATGGGAAAACTGAATTTCGTGTGAGACCTAGACAATTATTGGGTAATGAAATTTTGTCTCAAGTACAGAACCTAAACTTTTGTTAGATTGGTTAGCATCCTGATAACCCAAATAAAAAAAGGAAGATGACACTTGAGGAATGGAATTGGACTAAGAATAGTATTTTCTTTGAGCTAGAATATTGGCCAAAGTTAAAAATTAGGCATAATCTAGATGTAAAACACATTGAGAAGAATATTTGTGACACTATTATTGGGACAATATTGGGTAAAGAGGGAAAATCGAAAGATACAGTGAAGGCTCACCAAGATTTAGAAGCACTAGGAATAAAAAAATCTTTGTGGTTAGATTGGAATGGAGATAAATGAGTTAAAGGATATCCATTTCCATTTTTCACAATGAAACCAAATTTAAAGAGAGAATTCCTTCAATTTTTGAAATCTGTAAAATATCTAGATGGCTATGCCGCAATATCTCAAGGAATGTGGTAGTCGAATCTGGAAAAATTTCTGGATTGAAGAGCCATGATCATCATGCCCTGTTGGTATTTGAATATATTTACCAAAAGAAGTGGTTGAACCAATTATTTAGTTGTCCAATTTCTTTCAACAATTATGTGTGAAGATATTACTCATGGAGGACATTAAGAGGTTGGAAGATGATATTGTGTATATATTGTGCAAGTTTGAGCAAATTTTTTCACTGGCTTTCTTTGTTTCCATGATTTATTTATTGGTACATTTATCTGAAGAGGCAAGACTTGTAGGTCCTGTGAGTTATCGATGGATGTACCCAATAGAAAGGTACATGTTTATTAATTTTTCTCAATTGTAAGTTTCTAAATCAATGCTAACTAGTTGAACAATGTATCTCACAAAATCTATTTATTTGTAGAATGTTAGGGACATACAAAAAATATGTGCAGAATCGAGCTCAACCTGAAGGATCCATTGTGGAGGCATATGTAACACATGAATCTCTTACTTTTTGTGCCATGTACCTTCAAAATATTTAGACACCTTTTAATCGACCCAAACAAAACTTTGATGGTTGCTCTAGACAAGAGAAGCTTTTTGTTTTCTCCCAAGTAGCATTATCGTTTATGAGTAATTCAAAAATTTCACTCACAAATGATGAGATAGAGATTGCTCAGTGGTTCATATTGAACAATTGTGATGAGGTTCTTCCTTTTCTAATGTAAGTTCAACACCTATACATTTAGTTTGATTATTTGTACTACACATACATTAGTATATATACATAAACTTGCTGTGTAGGGAGCATGATGAAATGATGAAGAGTGAAAGTGATGTGGACGTACAGAAAAGGCATAGAAAATTATTTCCTAATTGGTTTCGTGAACGCATAAGTCATTATCCAGTTGTAATAAGTTTCACCATTTTTCATGAACTTAATAATTTTAATACTTAATTTTCATTATTATTTAATCTAAAATTAGGTGAGGAGTTTAGGGAAGGCAAAATCATCCTTGTACAATGATGAGCTATTTGAGTAGCAAGACATCCTCTTTGAGCTGAAACATACCAAGTTTGTATTGTGAATGGAGCAAAGTTTATAGCTGCAAAACGAGGTGATAAGCTAACCATGTAAAATAATGGTGTCTTTGTGCTGGCAATCATGATACCAATAATGTAGACTTCTATGGAAAGTTGATAAGTGTGGTTGAACTACTGTATAGACAACATTATAAGGTTGTTCTAGTCAAGTGTCATTGGTTTGATACAAACCCTCATAGGTCAAGATCAGTTAAACACGACTACCACTTACTATATGTAAACTCTAGTATTCGGTGGTATGATACTGATCCTTACATTCTTGTAAAAATGGCAAAACAAGTGTCTTACGTAAACGATCCCAAATCAGGTGGTGGTTGGAAAGTAGTTCAAAAGATGGATCACAGGCACATATATGATATATCAAGGAAGGAGATGTATAATGGCAGTGATGACAATAATGATGTGGCGTATCAAGAAACTTCTTCTTCGGATGTACTGAATATGACCGAAGCTCAAAAATATGATGTTATTCAAACACTACTTCATATAGATGACGTTTCTCTTGTGTTGATTGATCCAAAATCCATTAATTGATGCCTTGTTAGAGGAAATGATAGAGACACAGATAATGAAAGTGATGAAGACAATTGATGCGAACCTTGTAACAGCGTTGACTATGAACCCACTACTAGATTGTTCCAAAAACCCCAGAAAAGCCAAATAAAAGGTTTGGAGATTGACCTTAAATTACTAAACCAAAAAAAAAAACCAGCAAGAACGTTGCTTGAAGGACCCCTTGATTACACAATCTAAGACCCGCACCCGATTTGTAGAACACCACAAGAATAGTCTTGATAAGTTCAATGTGTTTAATTAAGAACAAGGAATTGAAAGCAAAATTGCCTTTCATATTAAATCTCAAATAATGTCTCGTGAAAAAAAAACAATGAAGAATTGAACTTCTATTTATACTAGATCCTAGAATAGAAGTTGAAAAGGAATAAAATTCTAATAATCTAGTAGAATCTGAAAAATATTAACCCAATATCTCTAGAATTTGACTAAAAATAGAGCTCTAATAAAATATGGAAAAAATGCGAAAAAGGAAAAATTCTGCCCCATCTTATGAGGTCACATAGTTCAATTGAACTACGTCCACATAGTCCCTGCCTCTATGCATGCAGTCGCATGCCTATTATAGCTATGTGACTGCATAGCTATCACTTTTGTCCCCAGCTTCGTCTGCTTGTATTGAATTGACCCATTTTGATTCATCTCTCAACCCAAACATGAAAGTTGCCTCGTTTTGCATCTCGAACATCGTCCCATCAATGGTTTCTCGAAAGAGCAATCATATCGCTTGTTTCACTTGCTTTGCTCTTGATAGCGTCATCGATCCGCCTTCGATAGTCAACGGGTCTCGACTCGAAGTCACTGTCTTCAAGCTTGATTCTTGGATCATATCACCCCCTCTCTCTTCAAAAGGATTCGTCCTTGAATCTGCACCTGCATCGAAAAGGGAAAGATCAGCAACGTTAAATGTAGTCGATACATTATATTCACATGGAAAGTCCACTTTGTAGGCATTATTGTTGATCTTCTCGGTGACTTGGAAAGGACCATCTCCCTGCGGTTGCAATTTGGACTTTCGCTGCTTTGGAAAACGTTCCTTCTTGAAATGCACCCACACCCAATCTCCAGGTTCAAATGTCACATGCTTCCGCCCTTTGTTTGCCTTTGATGCAATGAGCTTGCTCTTTTCTTCAATTTACATACGAAACTTCTCATGAAGTACCTTTACCATCTTAGCTTTCCTCTTACCATCCATGCTACCTCGTTCATTCACAGGTAAAGAAAATAAATCCAATGGAGTTAGTGGATTAAATCCATACACAATTTCAAATGGTGAATAAGAAGTAGTCGAATGTACAGTACGATTATAAGCAAACTCAATAAATGGCAAGCAATCTTCCCAATTTCTTAAGTTCTTATTAATCACTGTTCGAAGCAATTGAGTCATGGTCCTATTTACTACTTCAGTTTGACCATTTGTTTGTGGGTGACAAGTTGTAGAAAATAACAATTTAGTTCCTAACTTATTCCACAAAACATGCCAAAAATAACTAAAAAATTTAAGATCTCGGTCCGACACAATACTCTTAGGGACTCTATGCAAATGTACTCTCTCTCTAAAGAATAAATCAGAAATGTTAGTGCGTCATCGATTTTGTAACATGGTATGAAGTGTATCATTTTACTAAACCTATCAACCACTACAAAGATAGAACCCAGACCTTTCTTTGTCCTAGGCAAACCCAACATGAAATTCATAGAAATATCTACCCAAGGTTCACTAGGCACAGGTAAAGGTGTATACAAGCTATGGGGTAAAACTTTTAATTTAGCCTGTTTACAAGTTATGCACTTTTCACAAATCTGTTCTACGTTACTACGCATTTTAGGCCAATAAAAGTGTTCCCCTAACATGTCTAAAGTCTTTTGAATCCCAAAATGACCCATTAGACCCCCACCGTATGCTTTCCTTACCAATAATTCACGCATTGAACAATTTGGAATGCACAACCTATCTTCCCTAAACAAATATCCTTCATGTTTATAAAATTTATAAATAGCCATTTTAGCACGTGAATTATAAATGTTTGAGAAACCAATGTCATTTTCATACATGCTCTTAATATGTTCAAAGCCAAGTAATTTCGCACTTAAAGAGTTAAGAAGCACATACCTTCGTGATAATGCATCTGCAACTACATTTTTATTACCTCGCTTATACCTGATGACGTATGGAAACATCTCTATGAACTCCATCCACCTTGCACATCGCTTGTTCAACTTATCTTGACTATTCATCACTGTAGGAATTGGGTTCAAGCTTTCCCCAGCCCCTTCTCATCAATGGACTCCTAATGTATATCGTAAGTGCTTTAGGGACGCATGATCGGTGTGTATCACGAATTCCTTAGGCTGCAAATAATGCTGCCAAGTTTCCAATGCTCGAACAAGGGAATATTGCTCCTTGTCATACGTTGGGTAGTTCAGTGCAGCTCTACTCAACTTCTTGCTAAATCAAGCAATAGGTCTCCTTTCCTGCATTAACACTGCTCCAATACATATCCCTGATGCATCACACTCAATCTCGAAAGTTTTATTAAAGTTAGGTAATGCCAAAATAGGTGCTTTACACAATTTATCCTTAATGGTATTAAATGGAAGTTCTTATGTTCTCCCCCAGTGAAAACCTACGCTTTTCTTAACGATTTCAGTTAATGGTGTCGTGATTGTGCTAAAGTCTCTCACAAACTGCCTTTAAAAACTAGCGAGACCATGGAAGCTCCTAACCTTAGTTATACTTTTAGGTGTTGGCCATTCTTTAATAGCTTTAATCTTTTCCTTATCCACTTTTGCCCCATTAGCACTAACAACAAATTCTAGAAAAATAACTCTATCCATGCAAAACGTGCACTTTTTAAAATTAGCATACAATTCTTCCTTTCTTAACACAACAAGCACACACTTTAAATGTTCTAAATGCTCACCTAGGTCTTTGCTATAGATTAAAATATTATCAAAGTAAATTACAACAATTTTTCCTATGAAAACATGTAGAACATGATTCATTAAACACATAAATGTGCTCGGTGCGTTTGTGAGATCAGACGGCATAACCAACCACTCATATAACCCATATTTAGTTTTAAATGTTGTTTTCCATTAATCACCCTCCTGCATGCGAATTTGATGGTACCTGCTCTTAAGATCAATTTTACTAAAAACACAAGCACCATGCAATTCATCAAGCATATCATCTAGCCTAGGTATAGGCTGATGATACTTTACCATACTGCCCAATTTAACACTATGTCCGCTTAGTCCCTGCCTCTATGAACTATGTCGCATGCCTATTATAGCTATGCGACTGCATAGCTATCACTTTTGCCTCCGACTTCGTCTGCTTGTATTGAATTGACCCATTTTGATTCGGCTCTCGACTTGAACATGAAAGTTGCATTGTTTTGCGTTTCAAACATCATCCTGTTAATGGTTTCTCGAACGAGCAATCCTATCACTTGTTTTACTTGCTTTGCTCTCGATAGCGTCATCGGTCTGCCTTCGATAATCAACGGGTCTTCAAGTTGATTCTTGGATCATATCAATAATAATGGCGATTTGGTTGATAAGATCAGCAAACATGGTGTGGAGGACAATA